TTCCACACTCGGCGCATGCGTGTTTCTCGCCCTGGCGGTGCGGGCGTACCGTCAATACTCTGGAGCCTCGAAACAGTACAGTCCGCGGTACAACCAAGTCCGCTATGGGAGTATAGTGGTAGGCAAGACAGGCAATAATGAAAACGCCTCGTAATTGTGGATTAATCAAAGAAATACAATACACGAACAATGTGAGTGACTTTGCAAAATCTACACAGAGTGCGTAACGAACTGTACACCAATAAGCACGTAATACACGCCAGTAATATATTTTAATATAATTAGAAACTACTATTGATGTCATTATGAAATTGACATGTAACATCAGGCATTGTAAACTTTGTTTTTGTAACATGAGGCATTGCAAACTTTGTTGTTGTTTTTTTTAACTTAAAAGTTAAAACTTAAAAGAGGAAACAAAGCTGAGCAGTGGTGAAAAGCTGTGTTGAACATTGAATTCGTGCAGTTGGACAACGTCATTCGCACTGATGAATAATATGAATACATTTAGACAGAATAAGAGCTTGATTTTTTCTAAGTTTGACGACCAGTTTGATTGACGTGATCTATCTTTATTCCTTGTTAACACATGATGAGGACCAAGATGAAGGTTGACACATTGTGGGGACCATGATGGAATGGTAGATTCGAAGATTCGACGTTACCCCTTTAACATCCCCCCCCCCCATCGGTAATTTTTTTTATTATTCCCATGTCCTTCATGTTATTATATCAATTGCCTTCGCCAAATGTTATGACGCACATGATATTCATCCTTTTGAGCACCTCCTTTAGCAAACCCCTAAACCCGGTGTGACAAGAATGGTAGTCCTATAGCTTTAACTTTTAGTTCGGGTCCCATTTTTGTTAGTACAGGTGAGAGTTAGTCGTATTATTGGGCTTAGTAAATGAGACGAATGTTACCTGTACAAAGTGATGGAGAAGGAACTACGATCCCTAGCGGACTATTTTAAACTATGGTTTTTTTTTTTTTTTTTTTTTTTTTTTTTTTTTTTTTTTGTAAATTGAACGCCAATTAAATGTTTCGTATGCCATTGGGTGGAATTTTAGGGACCGTAGTTAAGAGCATGTAGCTGTTTTGTATCACTGAATTGAACAGCGTGATTATTGATTATTCTAATTTGGATTTTATTACGTTATATATTCCATTATATCTTATCCATTATCTGTGCCAGCCCTTATATAGGGAATAAATGTCGTACATACATGTAATATAACATACAGGTTTGAAATAGATAGCTCTATTTTTTTTTTCTTTTGATTTCTTCTTTTGTGTATTTTTAATACCTCGGTATTTTAATAAAAGTCTGTATTATCTTAATAAATTCCCATGTATATACATGTATGACAAATGTATCGGTTTTCCTGAACAGATTTCTAAATCAACCCAAGTCACAAAATGTATTTAAGTTAAAATAAAAGATGTTTTATTTATTAACTAATTTATTATTATTATTATTATTATTATTATTATTATTATTATTAAAACCAGCATGAAAAAATGCTTTTTGATCTGATCTTTCATCGAATATGTACCACGTTTGTGTGCTAGAAAACTGAGTTGACAAAATCGCGTGTACTCTTTAATGGAAAGTCACTCAGGAGTCTCGGGTGCTATATGACGCCGCTATGCAGTGATCTCCATGTTGGTAGGCGTTGCTGAGATAACAGTTTCCTCATGGACAGCCAAAATGAGGCCAATACGCGGAAAAAATATCATAGCAGGAAGAATGCATATGAACAAAACACTGACAATAACTAGATGCCAAGGTCGATGATGATACTGAACTGAAAGTGAAGGGCTAGAACTTAACATGGGGGACACTGAGGTCTTGAGTGAGGAACCTCTGGTCAGCGCGCCCCGGGATGAAGTCGATGAACATGAGAGGGAAGAGAGGGCCTTTTCGGTAAACTCCCTAACAACTGACCTGCGTCCCTCGGGATGGTTAACTCGGGCAGCAGCTTGTGTCCTTGTCACGAATTTATTCGAGCGATTGGCTTTTTTCACGATCCAGGATAACCTGGACCGCTTTCTTATAAATGAACTAAATTATACCAACACCGGTGCCTTCACGTGTCATATGATATTTGTAGGTGAGTGATCTGCCGTTATAATTACCTTGGGTGTAAGGGACCATTCCCAGACCCTATCGTACTAACTGTGGATAGTTCTATCTCTCAGGGTATTCTCGCTAAATTGCAATCAACTTAAGCGATCTAGGTATGGAACTCGGTCTAAGAGGTCAGGTAGAGCTCGAGTTTATAGTATGCTTCTACTGTTTACAAGGACCGCTGAAACACAGGGTGCTTGTCGCTGACTGGCAGTATTAATTGTCTTGATGCCTGTCCAATCGTGAACAGTGAAGAAGCGGCGAAGTGGGTGTATTTGTAACAGATATTAGTTCCTGGAATTAGCCCAGTGGTACGGATAGAAAGCTATACCAAAGACCACTTGAAATTGCATGATAACATGATTGACCTATATTTTAACGCTGCTACAAACAATGATCCTTGAAGTGTAGCGACACATTTAAAGCGGCTATATATATGTCGCACGAGTCAGGTTATGAATAAAATAAGATATAAATGAGATTGCTAGCATTTAAGCGCCATTTTTATTGGATCAGTTAAATTAATTTTAAAAAGTTTCTACCCTGCAATTTTTAAAAATCTATAACATGCACATAGGGTCTTTTACCATAACATGCTTATAGGGTCGGTAAGGAGGGGTGCATTCCAAAACCGAACGGTTTACAGGGGCGGACCAGGATTATTTGAAGGGGGGGAGGTCTGCGGATGCGAAGCCGACCCTCCCCATCCCCCGGCGAGAGGTTCGTGGCCCGCTCAAGGGTCCCTAAAGTTTTTAGTATTTTAGAGGGCGAACGGTGCCATTTGGTACGGTTTAGAACTATGATTCATCTAGTTAAAACTGTAATATAAGGGAATATTAGTGTGATTTTTTTGAGATATTGAAGGGGGTGTTAGAACCCCCCCCCCCCCTGACATACCCCCTATATCCGTCACTGGTTTATTCGGCCACCGTCTCTTTCAAAAATGAAAAAAATGACATGATTCTTATATTAAAATATGGACATTTGAATTACTTTAATACATTATTTTATAATGAGGGTGGAAATCACATTTTATCATATATTTAAATGCGTTTAGACTTTTTATTCAATGTTTACATTTTTTTCGTTGTTATATGTTATATGTTGTTACATAGTCATGGAAATATTGCTAAGTGAAACATTTTTTTTTTAAATGCTGGCATTTTCCTATTCCTTTGCACACAGGTATGTCGTCCTGCCTGGCTTTATTTGGCGGTTTGGTGGCCGACACGCTGACTGGGCACTATTGGACCATCTGCTTTGGCTTCGGACTTTACATCATAGGTAGGGCCAAGTTGTGGAGTAACGCCTAGCGATGGAGAAGAATAAAAACTAAAAATATGGGGGGAGGGGAGGGGGGGGACGGTGTATACATGCGAATGTGTACCTCCAAAAAAGAATGGTTCTTGAAATGAAATGCGAGTGTTTTTTCCTTTTAATTGACTATGTCTTAATTAACCATGTTCTATTAAGAAGTATCTCTGATATTATTTGTGGGCACATTCAAAACGTCGTAGATATCTAGAAATGGGAACTGTATGTTCTATACATGGGGTGTCGGTTTGCTCGAAAGACTTTTCCCTTTTGTACACTATCGTCATTTTGCGAAATAAAAATGTCTGAACTGGTTCACTTTTATAATTAATTTAGGTTCAATTCTAATGGAGATAGCTGCAGTTTCAAAACAGGTATTTATTTAGCAGTTTCAGTCCCTAAAATCATTTAAAATTGTTCGTAAACTATATTTTTTTAATCTAGGACCCACCAAATGAATGAGCCGTAATGTTGATTTCTTTTGAAGTCACACTATAAGTTATTGAACAATTGTGTCTAAAAGGCTAATGAAATAAAGTGGTTAATCTCACTGTGAGCGTCCAGGTGTTACAAAATGATTTATGCCACTTGTTTCTTATATGGTTCTGTCTTTCATATTTCCCACAAGTGAAAAGAGACAAATTTAATCTAAATTTTCTTGTACAGACATGTCACTTACGTACATTACAGCGAAAAAATTGTATATTTCTTCATTGCAGGTTGCCACCCAACAAAACTTGATCATGTCTGCTATGGTTTTTGTTGTCCTCGGAAAGAGTGGACTTAACGCTGTCCTGCCAGTGTACGGAGCTGACCAGGTCCACTCACGGGTCAAGAAAAGGGATTTTTTACACTGGTGTGTTCCTATGAAATAGCTGATAACGTTGAGTTTTGGCTGTGTTGATGCATTGGAAAAAGATAAAAAGTCAACGCTCGGTTCTAAAACAATGACACTTTTTATAATTTCTTTTCAGTATTGCCAAGTGCAAATAAAGTAAGCGTTTACATTATAACTCCGCCTTTCTACTTTCCAATATTGATGACTACTTCATTAATTTATGACTCTTAATGTAGCCTACTATCTACGTAAGATATTAATGTCCTAATGCTTCAAGAAGCAAAGGATGATTTTCCTGGAAATCTGTTAATTGCTAAAGCAACTTTTCCTTGTCACTGAGTAACGCCCTATCATAACCGTTGAGAAAATTTATGATCTATTAAACTTATTTCCGAGTTCCTAATTAATATTTAAACGACACGAGCAAAATTCACCACTGATAATATCAAAAACAGTTTTATTGATTGCAATTCTGTGAACAGTGTTGGATGGGATGTATGGTGATTAAGAGGGACATTTTGCTATGTATACTGTTTATTATAATTAATCGAATTTATTTCAGGTTTTATTTCTTCAGAAACGTAGGGGACGCCCTCGCAAATGTTGTTGCAGGCCTCGCGTTTGGACTTCTACTGCCAGACACTCATCAGTTGTGGAGGTTCCTCCCTACGATTCTATCGGTGGCTTTGGCTTTTATCTCCTTTTTATTTGGCTCCAAGTACTATATGGGTAGCAATGTTCGCTGTAAGTGCTTATCACTCGTATCTTGATAACAGACATTTTATAACGAGTCAAGTGTCATTAAAAGGAGGCGTTTCGCGTTTAATCCTTTTTCCTCGCGGATTTTGTTTTTAATTGACATTATAGTTCATATTTTCTGCATTTTACTTAATTTTGATATGTGGTCATATATGATACTAACATCTACATTTTTGTATAATTTCTTAGCACAGATTCCCTTCATTTTAGATTTTTAAGAAATATAATGGACCTGCTGGAAGACAAATATTGGTCCATGGCCCTATTCACGCATGCGTGCTCATTAGCAAAGAGCGTTAAACCTTAACATGGCAAAATATTAATTTTTTTCTGAAAATATCTACACTTTTGCCATTATCGCCCAGGACTTCCAAAAATGTTGTCAAAATCACGATCTATACCCCCGTTTTATGTGTACTTTTGAAAGTTTCTTGTTTTTCATTGTCGTAATGTGATTAAAGACTGAAAAAATTCACTCGTTCATGACAGTATATAATTAAGATATACAACGAAAATGGTTTTAATAAGACCGTCATTACCTCAACAGTTTTAAATGGTTTATATCCTGGTGATATAGGGAAAATTGTGGAGATTATTGTATGGGAATTTTTATACTACAGTGAAGGTCTTTTAAATGTCTAGTTGAACTATAGTTCACTTTTCATTTCAGTAAAAGAGTCGTGGAAAGTGATATCAGTCGTGTGTTCGTGTTGCCCCATCACGAGCCGGATAAGGTCTGGGTCACGTCGAATGTCGCTCGGTGTTAACGTGAAATCGATTAAAAAAGCCATAGCCGAGAAGAAAAAGAGGGTTAGAAGGATGGTACAAATTCTTCTTGTTAACTCGTCTGTTTTTGGTTTCGGTATACTTTATTCACAGGTGAGTGGGTCTCATATATCACAGTAGGAAGTGATAAGTCGATAAAAAATACAACTATCCAGTTTTAGCAATGGTATACCATCCACTTGCATTTTTTTTTGTTTTTTTGTTGTTGAAATTAATCCTCGAAACTGATGTGTGATCTGACAATGAGAAACACCAAAATCGGCAGCACCCGAGATGTACTGCAAATATAACAGGATCAAATATTTTTTTCATTCGTACATAAAAATGGTGGCCTCAGTTAAGCATTAGAATCTCTGTAGTCTTTAGAAAACATACTGTTATTCTTTATTTATATTTTGTTACATTTTTTCGCTTTATTCTTCAGATGTTAACGACCTATGAATTCCAAGCGAGAGGAATGGATCGAATGATAAACGGAAATGTTACCCTTCCAATCCCAGAAACGTGTATGCTTGCCTTTAATGAGCTCGCCATACTAGTGTTTATTCCCATACTTGTCAAGTGCATTTATCCTTGTATTGAAAACCGAGGGCGTTCGACAGGCTACTTTACGAGAATGGGTATGGCCTTCTTTTTACTCTCTCTCTCTTCTCTCTCTCTCTCTCACACACACACACACACACAGAAAGTCAACCATTTGGCATGTTTAACATGACATGAAAAATGCCAACATAAAATGAATTCGTGTGATGCGATAAATACATAACTTTTTCATTCATTGTATGAAACAACTTTGCTGCACTTGTGTGCTGCACTCTCTGTTCTAGCTGGCTTTGCTTCCTCTCCTTAGGGTTTGGAGTTGTGTTTGCCGCACTCTCTATTCTCTCTGATTTTGCTTCCTTTCCCCAGGGTTCGGAATGGTGTGTGCCGCACTCTCTGGTCTATATGGTATCATACTGGAGGTCTCGCGACAGCAGTCGTGTCATCAGTTTGACGGTGTCCCCAAACTGAGCGGGCTGTGGCAGGGGCCTGAATACGCCATCATTGGCCTAGGGGAGACGTTGACATTTATAGCAGGTGTTGTATGCTTTTTTTTCTCATTTTGAATAGCTAATTTAGGTCTGCCACTTACACCCTTGGTTTCAGGTTTACTTTAAATTCAATACTGTAAGCACTTTTCCACTAGAAACGGTAGAGGCATACTGATTATAAGGTTGAGTTTCCAGTACTCTTATTATGCGATTTAACCCCCATAAGAGGTAGGGCTACACATGAATAAAAAAAAGCGACAAATTTTGAAGGTCTTTAAATACTTTTAAAATGGCAAAAGGAATGTTCTTAGTGCAGTAAGTGCATTAATTCATATTAATTTATTTTCTGATCTACAATTTTTACCTACAGCAATGGAATATTCTTATCTGGAAGCACCAACGGGTTTGCGGGGCACGGCTATGGGTTTGTTCAACTTGGGATTTGGCTTGTCCTACTGCGTAGCGCTCATAGTGGTAACAATAGTGGATAAATTAACGGGTGAGTGCGTATTGTGGTCGGTGAGATTGAAAATCAGGCTGTGGCAAAAACTTTTATCCTATACTAGATTTTTTGGACACCAGGATCTAAGCATTAATTAAATGCCCCAAAGTAGATGCAATGGTCAGTGTCTGATTGATCTGACATTATATGATTAATCTGAAATTCTCAGTTTCGCTGGCCTTTGGTCTGGGGTCAGAGTATTTTAACTTCACAGACGAGTTTTTTATACCATGCAAATTTTAATATTCATTTAACGGTTGTTGTTTTTTAAAATAATAAAGTAAATATCAGTAATAACCTGTAGTTTGTTTCTTGTCCCTTCATTGTTAATTTCCACTGTCCTTTGTCATAAAAATAATTTTAATTTCTTTAAAACTGTTTCTTTTTTTTTCCATACCATTTTCCTAGACTGGTATACGGTGGATCTCAAGGACACATGCCTGACACACAATATAGGTCACTTGGAGCGGTATCTCCTGCTTTTACTCGGCTTTCTCGCTCTGTGTGCGATATCATTTGTGATAGTTGCGTTTTACTTATCTTCCCAGAAACGCAAATCTGCGGCGACGACGTCGACGTCATAGCCGTCGACTAGCTCGAGAAGGAAAATTGACTGACATTTAAAATACCTGCTTGATCCTAGCTGACATCTAGTTTAGGGTTTAGAGTAAAAACTTTAAGGTGGGANTGTACCTCCAAAAAAGAATGGTTCTTGAAATGAAATGCGAGTGTTTTTTCCTTTTAATTGACTATGTCTTAATTAACCATGTTCTATTAAGAAGTATCTCTGATATTATTTGTGGGCACATTCAAAACGTCGTAGATATCTAGAAATGGGAACTGTATGTTCTATACATGGGGTGTCGGTTTGCTCGAAAGACTTTTCCCTTTTGTACACTATCGTCATTTTGCGAAATAAAAATGTCTGAACTGGTTCACTTTTATAATTAATTTAGGTTCAATTCTAATGGAGATAGCTGCAGTTTCAAAACAGGTATTTATTTAGCAGTTTCAGTCCCTAAAATCATTTAAAATTGTTCGTAAACTATATTTTTTTTAATCTAGGACCCACCAAATGAATGAGCCGTAATGTTGATTTCTTTTGAAGTCACAGTATAAGTTATTGAACAATTGTGTCTAAAAGGCTAATGAAATAAAGTGGTTAATCTCACTGTGAGCGTCCAGGTGTTACAAAATGATTTATGCCACTTGTTTCTTATATGGTTCTGTCTTTCATATTTCCCACAAGTGAAAAGAGACAAATTTAAATCTAAATTTTCTTGTACAGACATGTCACTTACGTACATTACAGCGAAAAAATTGTATATTTCTTCATTGCAGGTTGCCACCCAACAAAACTTGATCATGTCTGCTATGGTTTTTGTTGTCCTCGGAAAGAGTGGACTTAACGCTGTCCTGCCAGTGTACGGAGCTGACCAGGTCCACTCACGGGTCAAGAAAAGGGATTTTTTACACTGGTGTGTTCCTATGAAATAGCTGATAACGTTGAGTTTTGGCTGTGTTGATGCATTGGAAAAAGATAAAAAGTCAACGCTCGGTTCTAAAACAATGACACTTTTTAAAATTTCTTTTCAGTATTGCCAAGTGCAAATAAAGTAAGCGTTTACATTATAACTCCGCCTTTCTACTTTCCAATATTGATGACTACTACATTAATTTATGACTCTTAATGTAGCCTACTATCTACGTAAGATATTAATGTCCTAATGCTTCAAGAAGCAAAGGATGATTTTCCTGGAAATCTATTAATTGCTAAAGCAACTTTTCCTTGTCACTGAGTAACGCCCTATCATAACCGTTGAGAAAATTTATGATCTATTTAACTTATTTCCGAGTTCCTAATTAATATTTAAACGACACGAGCAAAATTCACCACTGATAATAATATTAAAAACAGTTTTATTGATTGTTATTCTGTGAACAGTGTTGGATGGGATGTATGGTGATCAAGAGGGACATTTTGCTATGTATACTGTTTATTATAATTAATCGAATTTATTTCAGGTTTTATTTCTTCAGAAGCGTAGGGGACGCCCTCGCAAATGTTGTTGCAGGCGTCGCGTTTGGACTTCTACTGCCAGACACTCATCAGTTGTGGAGGTTCCTCCCTACGATTCTATCGGTGGCTTTGGCTTTTATCTCCTTTTTAGTTGGCTCCAAGTACTATATGGGTAGCAATGTTCGCTGTAAGTGCTTATCACTCGTATCTTGATAACAGACATTTTATAACGATTCAAGTGTCATTAAAAGGAGGCGTTTCGCGTTTAATCCTTTTTCCTCGCGGATTTTGTTTTTAATTGACATTATAGTTCATATTTTGTGCATTTTATTTAATTTTGATATGTGGTCATATATGATACTAACATCTACATTTTTGTATCATTTCTTAGCACAGATTCCCTTCATTTTAGATTTTTAAGAAATATAATGGACCTGCTGGAAGACAAATATTGGTCCATGGCCCTATTCACGCATGCGTGCTCATTAGCAAAGAGCGTTAAACCTTAACATGGCAAAATATTAATTTTTTCTGAAAATATCTACACTTTTGCCATTATCGCCCAGGACTTCCAAAAATGTTGTCAAAATCACGATCTATACCCCCGTTTTATGTGTACTTTTGAAAGTTTCTTGTTTTTCATTGTCGATATGTGATAAAAGTCATTACCTCAACAGTTTAAATGGTTTATATCCTGGTGATATAGGGAAAATTGTGGAGATTTCCACTTTTGTATGGAAATTTTTATACTACAGTGAGGGCCTTTTTAATATCTAGTTGAACTATAGTTCACTTTTCATTTCAGTAAAAGAGTCGTGGAAAGTGATATCAGTCGTGTGTTCGTGTTGCCCCATCACGAGCCGGATAAGGTCTGGGTCACGTCGAATGTCGCTCGGTGTTAACGTGAAATCGATAAAAAAAGCCATAGCCGAGAAGAAAAAGAGGGTTAGAAGGATGGTACAAATTCTTCTTGTTAACTCGTCTGTTTTTGGTTTCGGTATACTTTATTCACAGGTGAGTGGGTCCATATATCACAGTGGGAAGTGATAAGTCGATAAAAATACAACTATCCAGTTTTAGCAATGGTATACCATCCACTTGCATATATATATATATATATATATATATATATATATATATATATATATATATATATATATATATATATATATTTTTTTTTTTTTTTTTGAAATTAATCCTCGAAACTGATGTGTGATCTGACAATGAGAAACACCAAAATCGGCAGCACCCGAGACGTACCGCAAATATAACAGGATCAAATATTTTTTCATTCGTACATAAAAATGGTGGACTCAGTTAAACATTAGAATCTCTGTAGTCTTTAGAAAATATTCTGTTATTATTTAGGTTTTTTTGTTTCAGTTTTTTCGCTTTCTTCTTCAGATGTTAACGACCTATGAATTCCAAGCGAGAGGAATGGATCGAATGATAAACGGAAATGTTAGCCTTCCAATCCCAGAAACGTATATGCTTGCCTTTAATGAGCTCGCCATATTAGTGTTTATTCCCATACTTGTCAAGTGCATTTATCCTTGTATTGAAAACCGAGGGCGTTCTACAGGCTACTTTACGAGAATGGGTATGGCCCTCTTTTTACTCCCTCTCTCTCTCTCTCTCTCTCTCTCTCTCTCTCACACACACACACACACACAGAAAGTCAACCAATTGGCATGTTTAACATGACATGCAATATGCCAACATAAAATGAATTCGTGTTATGCGATAAATATATAACTTTTTCATTCATTGTATGAAACAACGTTGCTGTGTGCTGCACTCTCTGTTCTAGCTGGCTTTGCTTCCTCTCTTTCTTATGGCTTGGAGTTGTGTGTGCTGCACTCTCTATTCTCTCTGGTTTTGCTTCCTTTCCCCAGGGTTCGGAATGGTATGTGCCGCATTCTCTGGTCTATATGGTATAATACTGGAGGTCTCGCGACAGCAGTCGTGTCATCAGTTTGACGGTGTCCCCAAACTGAGCGGGCTGTGGCAGGGGCCTGAATACGCCATCATTGGCCTGGGGGAGACGTTGACATTCATAGCAGGTGTTGTATGCATTTCTCTTATTTTGAATAGCTAATTTAGGTCTGCCCCTTACACCCTTGGTTTCAGGTTTACTTTAAATTCAATACTGTAAGCACTTTTCCACTAGAAACGGTAGAGGCATACTGATTATAAGGTTGCGTTTCCAGCTGTCTTATTATTATTTAACCCCCTATAAGAGGTACCTAAAATGAATAAAAAAGGGACAAATTTTGAAGGTCTTTAGAAACTTTTAAAACGGCAAAATGAATGTTCTTAGTGCAGTAAGTGCATTAATTCATATTAATTTATTTTCTGATCTACAATTTTTACCTACAGCAATGGAATATTCTTACCTGGAAGCACCAACGGGTTTGCGGGGGACGGCTATGGGTTTGTTCAACTTGGGATTTGGCTTGTCCTACTGCGTAGCGCTCATAGTGGTAACAATAGTGGATAAATTAACGGGTGAGTGCTTATTGTGGTCGGTGAGATTGAAAATCAGGCTGTGGCAAAAACTTTTATCCTATACTAGATTTTTTGGACACCAGGATCTAGGCATTAATTAAATGCCCCAAAGTAGATGCAATGGTCAGTGTCTGATTGATCTGACATTATATGATTGATCTGAAATTCTCAGTTTTGCTGGGCTTTGGTCTGGGGTCAGGGTATTATAACTTCTCAGACGAGTTTTTTATTCCATGCAAATTTAAATCTTTATTTAACGGTTGTTGTTGTTGTTGTTGTTGTTTTTTAATAATAAAGTAGATATCAGTAATAAGCTTTAGTTTGTTTCTTGTCCCTTCATTGTTAATTTCCACTGTCCTTTGTCATAAAAATAATTTTAATTTCTTTCAAACTGTTTCTTTTTTTTCAATACCATTTTCCTAGACTGGTATACGGTGGACCTCAAGGACACATGCCTGACACACAATATAGGTCACTTGGAGCGGTATCTCCTGCTTTTACTCGGCTTTCTCGCTCTGTGTGCGATATCATTTGTGATAGTTGCGTTTTACTTATCTTCCCAGAAACGCAAATCTGCGGCGACGACGTCGACGTCATAGCCGTCGACTAGCTAGAGAAGGAAAAATGATTGACATTTAAAAGACCTGCTTGATCCTAGCTGACATCGAGTTTTCGGGTTTAGAGTAAAAACTTTAAGGGATAAGAACTGTTCGTTTCGCCCAAAAATAGATTTTTCTTGGGTTATCGACAAGTTTCCCGTACCTACCAATGGTTCATGAATCCGTTCCGACATTCAAAGTCCCCGTTTTTTTTTTTCTTCCAAATTTTGGTTTTCTGTAATAATCTCTTAAGAGCCATCTATCGAGGTCACAGGGCCAGATGGCAAGCACAAATTCCAGAATAATTGTGATAGCCATCACCTTAGTGGTGAAATATAATTTAATATATTTATATGAGTTGTTAACATTGTGCATATTGTGAAATATGAATCTCATATAGAGTTGTTATCCCTTAAAGACGTTAATTTGAATTGTGGGGCAAAAGGTTTTGGTATACATCATTCGGCGATGCCCGAAGTATTTGTAATAACAAAAGTAAGCGAGTGATAGAAACATTTTTATTTGATGCTAAACATCTACCTTGAAGTCTGCAGCTAACGAGAAAATGATCCTGGTCATGCTTTACTTTGTATAACCATTTTGCCATCATTTCTATGTAATATTTTTGTTAATGTTAATAACAATTATTATTCAACTATGATAACCAAGACTGATTAACACTTTAATATTACTGCGGCGACGACGTCGACGTCATAGCCGTCGACTAGCTAGAGAAGGAAAAATGATTGACATTTAAAAGACCTGCTTGATCCTAGCTGACATCGAGTTTTCGGGTTTAGAGTAAAAACTTTAAGGGATAAGAACTGTTCGTTTCGCCCAAAAATAGATTTTTCTTGGGTTATCGACAAGTTTCCCGTACCTACCAATGGTTCATGAATCCGTTCCGACATTCAAAGTCCCCGTTTTTTTGTTCTTCCAAAGTTTGGTTTTCTGTAATAATCTCTTAAGAGCCATCTATCGAGGTCACATAGCCAGATGGCAAGCACAAATTCCGAAATAATTGTGATAGCCATCACCTTAGTGGTGAAATATAATTTAATATATTTATATGAGTTGTTAACATTGTGCATATTGTGAAATATGAATCTCATATAGAGTTGTTATCCCTTAAAGACGTTAATTTGAATTGTGGGGCAAAATGTTTTGGTATATATCATTCGGCGATGCCCGAAGTATTTGTAACAACAAAAGTAGGCGAGTGATAGAAACATTTTAATTTGATGCTAAACATCTACCTTGAAGTCTGCAGCAAACGAGAAAATCATGCTTTACTTTGTATAACCATTTTGCCATCATTTCTATGTGATATTTTTGTTAATGTTAATAACAATTATTATTCAACTATGATAACCAAGACTGATTAACACTTTAATATTACTATCGTTTATTTGCTAAAACACATGATTACAATGTACAATATTATACAAACAAATGTACACTTTATTAATTACAAACCAGTCAAACCAAGGAGTGTGAATTTTATAACAATAACCGAACACAACTGCTCCGCCACGACTCTACCTTCAACTTAATTAAAGACTATTTGAACCCAGATGTGCCGGTCATCAGTTCTAACCACAATTACAGTCGGTGTCTTGAGAAAAAAAGACCAATATTCTTCTGTCAAATTAAATCCAATTTTTTTAAACGTACATTAAATAATTTACATATTTTACCAAGTAGTATATCACATAAACTGTTCAGTAGCTTACCATGGTATTACAGGTAAAGGGGTGACTTATGGGTGCGAAAAACACCACAAAATGGATCTTGATTACACTTTCTGTGCCTTTATCCGAGTGTGCAATATCAACTTCACCTTTTTTTTTTACTTATTCAAACAATTTTTCCAACCATGAATGTCTGACATCCCCATTGGATTTTCAACTCTCACTATAAGTCCTCCCACTCTAAGTCCCTTAATGTAAGTGAACTTTCTTATTTTTTTCTTACAACCAAAGAAGTTTACAAGTGTTAACTATTGTGTAATACTTATAAATCACATACCTTGTTTCATTTTGATACAAATCCTCCTTTACCTTTTACAAAGAAAAAGAAGTGAACTGAAAATCTTAATCTGCCATCTCAACTTGGATCATATATATATATATATATATATATATATATATATATATATATATATATATATTCCACCAAGGTCAGTGGCCATATGTAAATAACTTCTCAGAGGAAAATAAAAGTACCATTCAACTCATTTGATTAACAAAAAGAACAACCAATCTCTTTAAGTATGAGGTAGTACCACTGAAGACTGATAAAGTGATATAATACTGCAGCCTAACATGAAACAGACAATTAAATTAATCCGATATCTAAATTTCTACATTTGGCATGATTTGTTTGTCATAAAAAGGAGTGGATAACAGAAGTAGTTGAATATTACATCACAGTTTGCCAACAAAGTTACAACCCAATGATTTCTTCCCTTGCTATTTTCCATGGGAAGGTAAAATCGGCAATTGTACTTAAATACAACAACTGGTATTAAAGAAAAGAAATGGTAAAAGTTGGCCAAACCCTGTTAAAAAAAAGAGTCTCCTTACTCTTCAATAAATAAACACTGGTTATTTACATTACATATATACATGAAAGTATGCTTCACCCTGTAGACTTCAAGTTTTCCTACAACATTCTCCTACAACTTTTAACTGCTCCCATTTGTCTCAAAAGAAATATCATGTTGGTGTTGACAGGCAATCCCCCCCTCCCCCAAACACAACATATCCGGCATATAAATCTAAAAATACTGCAAAGGATTTTTTACATTTATGCCTACACTGGTATGTAACCTGTTCAGAAAAAAAGTCTACATCAATCATAATGTGTATAAAATGAAAATTGTTATATTTGGTAGGAAGCTCACAACTGGAGAAAGAATTTCCGTCCCTGACAGTTTTCTTTGGCAAGATGTGGCCAAGTATTGCTATCCAGTGAACGGGAGAGTCCCCTTTTCATGTCCCTGATGTACCTCACTGGCAAACTTTGACACAACACTTTTGTCAGTGACATTATAGTCCAAACATTAGAGAGAGTTGAACTGTTGCAAAACTTCAATTTGCTAACTCATATAGTTTGAAGAAAAGTCTCTTTTGCTGACTGCAAAAAAAAAAGAAAAAAAAAAAGACCAAAATAAATAATTTTTATTTATAAAACAGACTATTCCAAGTGCTCTGATATAATACCTAAACTTCAAGTATCATCTCGCAAAGAAAAAATCCAAGTCAAATATCCCTTAGCAACCAAAATTTTTTGGAAAATCCACCATCTGGTTGCCATGGTTACTTTCATGAAGTGGCACCACCAGCTGCGCCACCTGCACCAGTGTAATGGTGATAGTGGTGATGATGATGATGCTCATGGATATGATGGTGCTCATGTTTCTGTATCACCAGCTGCCCATTATGCTCCTCAACAGAACACTCTTTCTCCAGCCACTGTGACACATGACGCATGGCAAGCCTGTGGTCACGATCTCGGTGTTTGTGCCTGCGCTGGTAGTGCTGGTTGTGATTGGCTACCTCATGGACAGGCAGAGGCCGGTTTGACCCTGACCTGACCTTTGGGCTGGAGGAATATTTTGGAACCCGTCGACTTTTTGGGGTTCGAGGAAGATTTTCATAAATTGGGCTGGCTTTGGTTCCCATTGCTGTAGCCCCCTCAGCAGGGTTACTATACTGTTCTGAGGCATTTACATAAGTTCCATCCAAGAAGTACTGATAAGAAACATCCTGTGACCTTGACCTGAAATGACCTTGATGCTGGGATTGATGGGATATCTGCTGCTGTTGTCGCTGCTCAGTTCGCACAATACTGTGAGATTTAGAACGCATATCCCGAGACTTACTCCTACAACTGCCAGAGTTTGTGAGTATTGCTGCCGGAGCAGACGTGTTATGCAAAGAAGACACTGTGGGGTTATTATCAATCCCTGCTAGGTCTAGATAATAATTTCTCCTTTCTTGATTTTCCTTCACTTCTGTTCTGCTCTCTTTACTCGAGTTGCGGTGTTTCCGTCTCTCAGAAGAATGCCTATCCCGCGAGTGACTCCTGTTGCTCTCCCCATGGTGCAATCTGTGAATAAAGCAAAAGATCAGTCAGAAACCGAAGAACAATTGTTAAACTGTTGGACATCAATTGTGGCATGCTATCTCGAGTTATATTTTGTAAAATGCTATGTTGGACAATGTGTAAATTCAGGTTTAAATTAACACTGCCAAAAAAAAAAAAAAAAAAAAATTAAACAGCAATTAAAAGAAAAGAATTTTCAAAAGTATTGACATCAACAGAAAAACAATTTTATTTTTAGAACAATTTACTTGATAATGATCAACAACTAATAAGCAAAGAAAAAACCAAGACGAAAACAAAGCCTCAACCTCTGTACTGCAGAAAATGTGTTAGTTGAGATTCAAAAAGCACAGTCACTTACTTGAGTTGTTCCTGCCTCAGCTGATGCCTCTCCATATTCTTCTGTACAAGTTCTGCCAGATGGCGCTGTTCCTGTGAGCTAAATTTTGGTTTTCTGGGCCTAAGTGGAGGGGGGCTTTCCTTCCCAGGGGCCTCCATGGCTTCAATGTTTTTCTCTGGCACTTTCACTGCCAGATTACTTGCCTTTCCACCACTGAGCAAAATGTCACAATTCTCATATTCCTTCATGTGTTTAGGAGTTGCCAGGCTTCCAGAAAGTTTTGAACTTGATGATTGCTTTTCCGTGAAACTTGAAGTAGATAAGTTTTCAGCCAAATGAGGAAGAGGTAAGTTTTCCGGCACTTTTGGAGAGGATATATCATCTGACAGTCTTGGAGTGGATAAGTCTACAGTGAGCTTTGGAGTTGACAAATTCTCCGATTCCCGTGGCACTAATGGTGGAGTTGGCGGTGTTTCCTTTATTTCAATATTCAGTCTGTTTTCTTGGAAGCTTTCAACATTTGCATTGTTTTCCTTGGATTTCTCTGGAGAGATTGTAAGTCTTAGTTTCAAGCTCTTGTTTCCATTTTCTGGGAGTTTCACTGTGGAACCAACAGCATCATAAAGTGACTTCATCAAGGTAATCAAATCCTGAAATGGACAGAAAAAACACATAAATAAAAGCATTATTAACCTTAATTTTTTACATTTACAAAACACTATAATTTTGCCAATTTCATGCCAAATTAATGTCTCTACTGAGAAGCTATTCTAAATGAAAAAAAAAGACACCATAAAATAAAATCCCAACAATAAAATGAAGTGGGTGGCTTCTGAAGTCTCGCCTGCGATTCAGAGATATAGTGGGACACAAAAACATCTTAATCTCATTTGACAGTTATGCTTTTCAACATCTTTCTTTGAAAATAATTCCAGGTGCTACCTTTCTCATCTAGAGACAATATTTACTTATTTCACTCCTTGACCACAAATATACATATAAAAAAGTCTGTGTACTGGTGACCATTTTAAAATCAATACACTCTGAAGCACTTGCAATAAAATTTTTTCTCATTTCCAGAAACCTAGCTTACACATGTCCAACAAAATAGCCAGTTAAAGGAATAAATGGCTTCATGTAGTCCACAGAAAGATTCATGTCATCTTTAAATCTTGATGGATACCACCAACCCAATAACATCACTCTGCCCTGAAAGAGGGTGTCGCATCCAGACAACTTCAAAAGAACCCAAGCTGTCTAACCTGCTGCCTAATCACATGATGACACTGGATTCAAAAAGGGTGGCTTTTTGATCTTCCCCTCGACAGGAAGTTAGGCAAGTGGAGGCTTGGCCCCTCAAGGGCCCCTTTATGGGAGTCCAGTGTCATTTCTTACACTTGCCAGTGTGTATGGGACCATTCAGAAAAAGTAATGTCAACCTGGCTAATGCACACTAACTCCACCAGGACTCTCTCTAAATGCAGTCACTTTAACAGACTAAGGGTGCTTTCCCAGAGATTTAGATCGATCTAGAGATTAAGATTTAGATCGACCTAACTCCCTGGGGGTTCACGCTAAATTGCAGTCAGCCGAGCGGGCACCATAGTTAATTACCCCCTTACAGCTTTTAGTAGGCGGGACAGACGCTTAAGCCGGCCAAGCTGATAGTAATCTAGTGAGACTCCCCACAGGGATAGATTGATCTAAAAATCTATGGAAATGGGGTGTAACATGCCTCCTTTTGTTTCTAACATACTCATATAATCACCATCTTCTGTTTTCTACTCGACGCCAGGAGGAGGCATTTTAGTCTGTTAATCTGACTGTATTCAGTGAGTCCCAGTGGAGTCAGTGTGCAATAGCTAGATCATTCTGAGCAGTCCCAAAGTGAACATACCCCTTGAAATTTACACCATAAATTTCCCTTCTTTCAACGAAGAATCTGTCACTCAATGTTCCAAAAACAAAACATAGCAACTTAAAAAACACTATATTGTTAGGAACCCCACAACTTGTATAACAACCCTGATTCTCAGCAAGCCCAGGGTTCTGCGTCCAAGTAAAAGGTTGATCTACACACCATGCAGAATTTCCACTTCAAGTTTAACTGCTTGCTGGGTGGTGGGAATAAACAGGATTTAAATCCCCCACTCCCGTGTCAGACACATATTTTATTGCAACATTACAGAGAAAAAAATGAACGCTGAGCTGTGACATGATATCTTTTTTTACTACCTTTTTTTAATGCCTCTATTGGTATGCATATACTTTTATATATATATAAGGGCTTGGGGTGTTCAGAAAACAAATGCTCAGACAGCATCCATATCTTGTCTACCCCAGTTTTTTTTTTTCTTTATTCAGAGAAGCAGCTGGCCATTCCATAAATTGAGTCAACTTTAATCTAGTTTTGATGGCACTCAAAACAGGTTAATTGCCGCAGGTCGGGTCTTTTTTCCTCTCTGCATACTAACGCCCCCTGGTGATGGATCTGACTTCAAAGGAGAGCCATACAAATGAATCACTAGTAGAGAATAATTAAATTTGGTTCAAGTGCTTTTTGCATGGGCTGTGAATTTCTTTTATCACCGCGCCGCCAGTGGGGTTACTTGCACTACAGTCAGAAGATAGATCCTGCCAGGATGAAGGAGTAAAAAAACTGCTACGTAACATATTTTGGTTAATAAAACTTCAACACAGTATCATTAAGTGCATCTTCTTTCACCTTAAAAAAAATGTTTTCTTTGTCTAGTTACCAAGACTTAATTATATAATGGATGCCGAGAACTAAACTGTCACATTACATAAAATAAATAAATAAATAAATAACCTATAGGACCACACACAGTTATATCACAAATTGAGACAATCTTACCTCTTTAGTGATTTTCCCTTTTCCATCAAAATCATACAATGTAAAGGACCACTCTTCTTTGTCTGTCCCTTCCACGGAGACACCACATTCAAATTCCTGGATAAAATATGATATAGATTTATCAAACAAAATGCATATGACCATTTATTTATGGGCTTCCTTTACACAATTTTATCAGAATGCTTATGAGTGGATGATTGCTGCTCTAGGACTGCAGCTCGCGTTCAAAGACCCCCCCCCCCCCCTCAAGTTGCAGTTTTCAATTTTTGAATAGCACTTAGAGCACGTTTAACTTTGTGACTTGCTTCTCAAGCCATTTCTCATACATTTTGTTTTGAAAATAATACCAACAACACAGAAGACTTGGGGAGGGGGGGAGACACCATTCTCTATCTACTGAATCCTTCTCATCATTAAAGCCTATTCCAGAAATGTCAATTAATTAATAAAAAATTAAAGGGTTTTCTCAATATCTCCTGATCTTCTTTAAAGTCAAAAGCAGAGAGATAGAAACCTGTGGTAACCTGTTTCACCTTGTGTGAACAGTTTTAGCAAGAACAAGAGAACTTCCTTGCAATGTACTCCAGAATTTAGAAAAACTCCAGTGCCCCCCACTAACCTATGGAATGAAAAACCTGGCTGTTTACCTGAAACTTTATCAAATGCTGTATGAAGATCAGAGCAGAATTGCAATTAGTGCTGCCAAAACTGGCCGATTAGGATTGAAACACAAAGTAATAGCCAGTAATTTGTTTGTTTTTCTGCAAAGGTTAGCAGTTCTGAAGCTGAGAGGCTGAATGATATACCTACATGATTTGTGAGAGAGAGAGAGAGAGAGAGAGAGAGAGAGAGAGAGAGAGAGAGATTCTTCTTACTTTTATTCATAAGCCTTTTTGCATGCTAATTTTTTTTTCATTTTGTTTAAGTGTAGTTGTGAATCAGTTAGTTCTAAAATAAAATTCTTTCATACAATTCCCTGAACCAAAAAACATCTATAATGTAAGTAAATGTATGAAGCTGCTGGCTGATTTCCATCTTTAGGCATAAAAGCCCCATATACATCATCATGATGCAAATTTAGTAATTTTACATGGTAACTTAAAAATATATTTTACTGTGTATACACAACCTAATTTACCCCAAGACTGATTCAGGAATATTTGAACTGGTAATCACAGTGTGAATGGCCCTAGCACACAAAAGATCAACATTTTTTTCTTCAGTATCAATTTCCCATATTGCACAGAACAAAGTTGGCCACATGTCCCCTTTGGCCATGTAGAAACTGATTCTTAGGAAAACAAAAACTCTGACCTCATAGATTTCTCCCAGATTGTGTGTCTGCAGTGACTTGCACTGGCACTTTTACTTGTGGGTCTTATGTTGGAGGTAGTAGAAATATGTCCATGGTTAAGACTCAATTTAGTGGATTTCAGTACTGAACCTCTGAAATTCTTCGGGGTCTCCCTTTCCCTGTTCTTCTACTTTTTTATATTTCTTCCCCCCTTCTTTCTCTCTCTCTTTCACTCACTTACAACCCCTGAACAAAAAAATTATTCATTAAACAGAATTGTTTCAATGAAATGACAATTACAACACCCATTTACAATCTTGTAACAAGACCTAATGGCCACAGCTTCATATTTTAGAATATATTAAAAAGCAATTAACCCTTCTCCTACAGGCAACCAACTACTCAGCAATTTTCCAAATATTTTCGGAGCTACATGCTAAACATATTTCTTCCTTGTTCAGATTCCACGATTACTTTATGATCAACACCACATGGCCCTGAGCAATGAAGTGAATTCCAGAATTCAAAAACTAGCTAATGGGCAAGAACACTTGGCATGACAAGAATAATTCACCCTGTAACATTTGAATACGCAATTGAAGTTATTTGTCAGAGATTAAAGATGCACAGTATAAGATCTTCTCCAAGAAAAACTCACTGAACACATTTTCCTGTGGCAATTTTTGTTTTTCTGTTTACCAACTTCTGATTCTTCTTTTGTGACACTGGCCTTAACTCTGTAACAATTCTGTGAATGCTTAACCCAAGCTTAATTGATTGTTTTTCAGATTCCACCATCCCTTCTAGTTCAATTCTCCCAGTGACTTCCTAATTTTGCATGATGATTGACGGCCAGTAAGGTTTGTCATGAGGTGGTAAATTTGATTACTTTGGGTGACATTAACTCATGGCATCTAGCTGTTAAAATATGACTGAAAGCTAACTGTTTATGTACTTAACTTTGTTTAGAATTTTACACTTTTTCACTTCAACTCCCTAAGTATTACTAAATGCTTTGCCTCTCCCCCCCCCCAACCCCAACCACCGCCAATACCTTCACAGAGAACACTGATCTTTAGAGTACTTCTTCATAAATAAACCACACTTGCTCTTTGTCCTCTTTTAAACCTATCAAAATTTTGCATATTTCTTCCCTACATATTTGTAAGGTACAATCTTGATAATTTCTCCTGTATGAAACTTTTTCTTTGATGCCTCTGAGGCTCTCCTTTCCCTCATTACCCCATATCTGCCCCCCCTTCCCTCCCCCATCCTAAAATCCTATTCCTACTTACTAATTTCACTCCCTCCAAAGTTCTGAGGGCCAAATTCTATCAGGGTCGGAACCAGTCATTTTAACATCACATTAATTCTATTCCCGTTGAGAAACTTTCCTCAGCTGTTTAATACATTAAACTACATGCAATTTCAGAGGCAATTTCTAATTCACCAAAATAAGGCCCCTGGTTTTCTGTCAGTCTTTGACAGATGAAAAGGTCTTTCAACCAGAACCAAATTCCAGAGCCTCAGATAAATTTGCACAAGCAAAAAAACACTACAGGATTCTCCTTTACAGCACTTCTGTATTAAGTTTATAATTTATGACTTTATGCTTTGAAAAAAATTGAAATCTTAATAATGAAAATCAGGCTAGTAATTGTAACAGTTGAGAGATAACAGATACTGTGGTCATAAAAAGTAAAAATAAATATGTTACCTCCACATCCAGTTCCTTGGGCTTTTCACTCTTCTTATCCTTCTCATCTTTGGCTTTCTCCTCGTTGTCAGAGTCCGTGAGCACTGGTTTAACATCGCTCCCATCCTCCTCTTTGTCTAAATTCAATACCTTGGTCATATCATTGTCTTTTTCTGGCGGAAGAGCAACTGAAGAAGCAAAAACATAATATCATTAAGTCCAGTGAACAATTGCATCAGTTGCGTACACTCAGTTACTACATTTGTTTCACTAAAAACTACAGCTGGGATCAAAGTTATCTGCACTCCAATATTTCAAAGTCAATCAACTACATAAAAATAGTCAATAGAATTCATTTGTAAATTGACAGTTAGCTCCATTTTATGAAAAAAAAAGTCCTCAGATAACCTTTCAGAGGGTGAGATTTGTATGTATCCATGGTCCTCTGCCAATATACATGAAGAGTAACCACTCTCTAGCACAGAGCAAGCAAAAGTGGTCAAATGATATTCTATGGAAACCTATATACAAGGTCTGTGAAAACCTAGCTGTACAGGAAGCCATTTTGGTATCTACAGGGCTTTAAAAGCTGTGAACTGAACTGTTCACTTCAATGGCTTCTCTGACTTGAATGATCCAATTAATTGTTTTACTTCTGTAAATTTTCTTTTTACTAAATCTCAGCGATAAGTTTTAAATTGAAATGCATCTGCATTAAACTTCCGCTTCTTATTCTCTTGGTAATCTGTGCTACGCTCACAGGCTCACTTATATATATATATATATCACTGTATACGATTATCTGGTTTATCTAATAAAAAAACTGTATGTATCATCACTCTTGTCAACAGTTTAAAAAATAAGCTGAAAAATTTTTAAAACTCAATCTGACACAGAGTAACCAAAATAGAATGTCTGTGTGAACCCAGTTATTATTTGACGCTACATGTCATGCAAACGGTTCATATACATATGCGTGTGTGGCCCTCAGCCCATCCGTTATGACTTGTCAACGTGTGTGGGGAGCTTGACCACTGCCACACACCTATCTGAACACAGGTGACAATTAAAGTGACAGCGTCACACCATGTCCTGTCACAGACTAATGTGCTGACACAGGAGAGTGGTGAAGTACATCCAATGAACCGCTGTTGCCATGACAACATTGGCACATACAAAACTGTAAGCAACCGAAATAGAAAATCCTAAGCCATTTCACTTTTAATTAGTGGTGAAAAACCTGTGGGGTTACTTCCTGTAGATGACCATGACTAATTCTAGTGGTTCTTAAGCAAGCTTTTGATTTTTGTTATTCACAGTTCTTGATATTGGCTATATACAAGAGATATAGATGCTCCCTACAACAAGAACACCAATAACTATATACACATATTCAAAACTTTTTTTTAAACAGAGACTACTTTTTGTGTTCATCCAAACACAGCAACTTGCTTATGGACATGAAGTTGCAGTCACAAATATATGAATAAATTCATGACGCTATTGTTAAAATGACCTCACTTTGGACAACTATTGCTGGACTCGTTCTGGTCAATGCAGCTGGACATTATTAAAGCCGCACATGTCTAACTCTGGTCAAGCTGAGCCTGGGTCACTAACCACAATGACCTTCTCTACTGGTTAGAGTCTGGGAAAGGAAATGGGCAGTTTCCTTATTCAAGGCACAAAGGTATACTTCACACTGCACACACACACACACACACACAACTCTGGTGGTCATGTGCTCATTAAGAGCCCTTGTGGACCAACCGGGTTGGTTGCCAATATTTCCATCATGCCCTAATAGGGTGGATTCGGAACCAGTTGATCCATGAACTAACTAGTCTGCAGATCAAATATGGCACTGACCCCATGAAAACGTGCTAAGATTGAATTGCTCTGCCCCGCTGGGATTTTGTAAGTTGGACGTAAGAAATCCATGGACAAGTGCACGCCATATCTGATCTGTTATGAATTACAACTGGTTATGAATGTGGCAATACTATGGTTTGACTTAGAGGAAAAGTACTTTGCACTCATTCTATGTAGTGGTTCTCATACCAGGGCAACTTCACACCTGGCCTTCTAACTTACAAGTATAATCAGATGACCAGGTTATAAAGATCATTTTGTTCAACAGTGTGAACACAACAAATGAGCACAGCCTTTGGGTGTATTACCACCAGTTTGGTCAACTTCCCATTTCTTTTTCTTTTATACTATTCAACAAATTAAGTCTTTTTAAAACAATATTTAAGAAAATAACCTTTTTTTCTTTGATTTAACCAAAATCAGTTATATTTAAACCAAAGGTGAGTAAATAAGATACCAAAATATATTTTTTAAAAAATGTAACACATCATCTAACCTTTTAATGGTCCCTGTCCATTTGCTGCATCTTTTTTCTCCTCTGTCTCCCCCTTCTCTGCATGGTGGTTCTGTAGGCAAAATGCAAACTCCTGAAACAGAAAAAAGAGAAGAAATAAGAAAATGAATCAATGTTAAGATAAATCTAATTTTTCTGTTTGTCTTAAGGCTTATTCCCATTGATGCCATCGGTCTTTGTAAAATGATCCAAACCTGTAGGGACTCTTGGTGAATGCAATCAGTTTCACAGATTAACACGCCTTCTCATGCCACGCCTTCTCATGCTGATTAGTAGAATATGGAAAAGCTGGCAATTATACAAGTACACTGGAATCAAGAGGAGGTGTGTAAGGAGCTGTTCAACTTCTCGCATTCAGCCAGAATCCCTGCAGAATTGGATCAATCAATATAAATGGATGGTGTCTTTGAGAATGAACCCTTAAATGCCATGCACCACATAATCTTCCTTTACCTGCATGGTGTTAACATAGTATATAGCCAAAAATATATTAATTTTTACAATTCATATACATGTTATCAGCATGCAGGTATTGCCTAAAGTTGAAAGACAGGAGCACTTAAACCGTCTTATTCCACAATAACAATATCCCTTTAAAAACATCTTCATTTAAGTCATGAACAAGCTGACCTGAAACTTGACAACAGGGTGGAAATGTTCCTTGAAGAAAACAAAATTTTTGGGATCAAAACATATTAGGGGTAACCAAGGGGCAAGAGGATACCACTACTATGCCACCCTATCTGTCATGGCTGCACCTGCTCCATGCAGAAGTGAAATATTGAGGTCAGGATCCTTCAAGGGATGTAGTTAATTTTTTTTTCTTCTTCTTTTTTCTAAAATACCAACATCATGTCTCTTGTGGTAAGAACATGCTGTGGTTAAGACAGATCCATGTACATGAGCCAAACCACAAAATACACGGAAATGGCACCAATGTAACATCTTCACCTATGCTTTATTTGCTACATATACGACTAGAGTAACTGTCACACTGACTGAAATGAAAATTGTTCGTTTACATATTTTCTTCTACGTATTGCTTTCACCAAAGATATTCAAGCTGTCAGTAGGGGCTCATTCTTGTAACGATTCAAAAACAGTCCATAAAATCAGCAACAGGAAGCATATTCCACTTCCTTATACTCAGGAACTACCACTACTATCCAAATGCTTAGAGCACATTCTCAACGAATTAAGCCAGGCTTTACAAAGCCGGTGACCTAAAAATGGCGGACGTACATGAAAGAAAAACCGCCTAATCTTTTAATAGTCTCTCCGCCTCCCCACACGTCGTCCCTGCGGGGTACAGTAATTAAATCTCGGCTCCGTTCGCCATGCGGAAGCTACCTGAGAAATATTAAGTGCGCATGCTCATCAGTTAAACTCATGGTGAAGAAAGCATGGCGGCTGAAGGCGATCGAAGGAAAAAAGCTCTTCTGTTCTATTATCTTTGAAAACAGAGACGAAAAAGGAATAATTTGGCCCGTAGAGCAGCAATGAATCGACTATCTACGGAGATAATATCACCAGAGATATTCACGGAAATATTAATGTTCGAAACCGAGATTTAATTACTGTACCCCGCAGGGACAACGTGTGGGGAGGCGTGTGAGAGGCGGAGAGGCTATTAAAAGATTAGGCGGTTTTTCTTTCATGTACGTCCGCCATTTTTAGGTCACCGGCTTTGTAAAGCCTGGCTTAATTCGTTGAGAATGCGCTCTTACTCTTTCAAATGCCTTCAGGTGGCCCATTTCACTCCTTCTTCTCCTTGTACCTTGTGAGTTACCCTTGCAACCTACAACTTCTGGAGAAATTAGCATTGATTTACCCCCCCTCCCCTCCCAAACCACCCTTTCCCAATTATACATCATGAAAATATTCATTACTTAGGTCTTATATCATCTTTAATGATTTCTGCCTAAGCTTTGTATGACTTAACATGCAACCATTAAGTATTCTTGGTCTTACCCCACCCCAATGCTGGAGCACTGACTGGTATCAGTGCCATAACATCTTGATGACTTTTTCTGTTTTCAATGACTCCGCAGATAATCAGTCAGAATTTGTAATCAGAAGACTGGCGGCATGACTGTAGGCAAGATCACACTAGGTTAAAAATGTATCATTTGACTTAAATCAGAGTGAAACAGAGTGACTGACTTTAATCAAATGAATTCTAAAATGATATCAAAATACTGAGAACTTTTTAAGCAGAACAGCTCCATCTCAGCATCCATCTACTTTTTATCTCTTTTTTATTTCCTCACATTCCATTAACTTGGCTTCCATCCTGTAATTAAAGCCCCTAACCCCACCCAACCCCTCCTCCGATTCTGCTTCCTTGTCTGAACATTCCATTACATGCCACACTCCCTCACCCATACCAACCCAAGGCGCCCAAGCAACTGTTAACCCTGTCCACACCACTAGCCTGTGGCTTGAGCAAATTACTGACCAAGGGACAGTGGATTTTGACACAGTAGGGCAGTAATCAAAAGTGACTGGAACACTGGCCTAGAGCAGTAAGGCAAGCCCTGTTCTTTATATGAAGCTGGCTTCTTTTAGGAACCTATTCTAAATGACCTCTGGCAGAAGTCTGTTTCTCCTTTTTTTTTTTAAAATCCTTTTTCAGTGGACTTCTCTTAAAGCAGTTACAGCCTACTTAAGCCATAGAATGGAAGGTTGCTTGAAACTTACTAATATACAAAGCTAAAGACACAACTTCACATAAAAGTAATTTTACTCGGCTCTGTGTGGTGCCCCATTACTCCTATATCAAACAACATTTAACCAAATGCAGATAGTTAACCCAAAAACTATTATTCTATCTCAACTTTCCACCAACAAGTTTGAGTCACAAGCTTCAAAATTTCCTTCTGTGATTCTCAGGGTATGCCATTTCCTCCATGTTTCTCAGGGTATGCCATTATTTTATCAATCACCATTCTACCAAATATACACCACAAACTTCCCAAGTTTTGCATTCTTACCATGTCTAAGAGAGCAGGTGTAACCAACTGTAGCCCTCCAAGAAAAAAAAAGTTCACGTCAGCCCGGCTACATTTTACTTTGATCCACTCAGGCACAACTGCTGACTGTATATTACTATTTCAAAGCCAAAAGGCCAGGCCATAATTTATTGATAATGCAAGCGAAAATTCCACTCCCTTTAGTCAACATCATCAAAGAAAGCGTGCAGTAAAAACAAAGGGCAGTATTTAGTTCTCTACAGCTCTAAGCCAGGCAGATAAGGAACGATGAAACTCCAGAGCTGGGTACAAAATTTTTCTGAAAGGGGGCCAGCAACATGGAAGAACTAAGTTTTATGAGATCCGCTCAGACAAGGACAACTAAGGGGCAAAACCTCGGACAAGACCACATCAGCAAACAAATCAGTCAGCTGCGTTAGGTGTTGAAGTGACTTGGGTGCAAGGAGGTCTCTTTGTAACTCTATAGTCTAATGATTAAATTTCCTTTCTGGAGTAGTCCTCAATTTCCCTGTCTCATATAGTCCTCAATTTCCGGTCTCACATTGTCCTAAACACCCGATCTACAGTGATTCTTGTCTGAACATGTCACAGATGGTCAAAGAGGCCAGGGAACTGGCATTACAGCTGCCTTTTAGTTCAATGTCTGCTGCCAGTGCACTAAACTTCCCTGATAACCCCTTTGATGTCTCGGCCATGAAAACAACCTGCCTTAGTCTCTCCCTCCCCAATCAATAACAGAGTTAATTAGAAGATCTAGAACAATTAAGCCTGCTAACTAGCTTTCTTTTATCTACCTGAGCCATAACAGTCAGCCACATAACACGCGGCAGCAATTTCAGGCAATTACATACAGACTGTAGGGCACCAGTGCGCTCAGCGAGGGACAACCTCCTAGAGGAGCAGCCAGACGTCTCTCTCACCTGAGGGTCAATGAGTACCTTGTGGACACTTCGATTTTTATTCAAAACTGCCTTGGGGGCAGTTTGAGATCTGAAGGTGACACAGTGACACACACACTCGAAGGAAAGGGGCTCTAATTTGTCCAGTTTCTGTCATGCATAACACAGTTGTGCCGAACAATGCATGAAAATTCTGCATTAAAGGACTGTCATATCACTGCTGATATGTAATGGTGATGGCTAGGCATAATGGAAAAGCGCTGTCGTTTTTGGTCCATTAAAAAAAATTTTTTCAAGAGAGTTTTTTTTATTCCTGAATTTGTAATACTTATTTTCAGGCAAACCAGTGAAAGTGACTAAGTATTAAAAGTTGTTCTGAAATGAATGTACCAGGTGTAGTTATGCATCGCCCATAACCACCAAATATTATATACCTCATTGTGTCAATGTGCATAAAACACTATGAGGAACCTTCAGTTTGACTTATCTCCCTCCTCTTATATTTTGATAGTTTGCTGAAAATGTAAAGTCATTTGGAGAAGAAGAAAATTTTAACTCTGTTCTATGTTATAAGTAAGTTTGTGAGATTTATGCCAAATTCAGAGAAAATCTTAAGCAAGTTTATAAAAAAAAAATCTAGATATATGCAATGAACAAAACACACTGGGGTTTTTCTTTTCACATAAGTGACACCTTTGACATTCATGAATATGAGCAGAATACAATCAGACAAATCAAACAGACAATTATTATCAGCAATAGAAATATGGGAAGGGGGGGTGGGGGTTGGAGAGAGAAGACGGAATTAACAACGCCTCCAATGTAACTGAAGATTCAGGTTTATTAGCTGAGAGAATGTTGATCTAAGTACAGCAGTACCTCAGTGTGTATATATACACTACCACACAGAGTGTATTTGGTGACCCGTGCGGTACAATATCTACAGCTCTAATACCATAAATCAGATCCTCTTCCAGCGAGAGGTAAACATGGCCGAGGTCAGGGTCGGCCATTGTGGTCATCACCTGCGAAACTGGATAGCGTAGCAAGTATTTTAATAACACAAGTTTTAAGAAATAACGCCAGCAATTTTGGGGACGTGTCCCCAGATTTTGAACCTGTTCATAATCTCCTCTTTCAAATGCCTGAAAGATCTAAGCATTACAACAAAGTGGGATAAC